TAATTGTTTTATATATATTAGATTAGGACTTCTCCGATAGACGGATTATTTTATTCAAAATAAAATTAAAATTAAAATTTAATTAAAAATGTGAAATCGTGGATCACCAAAAAAGTTTCGAGCTATTCACTATTATTTATAATATAATCAAAAAAATTTAAAGCACTTAATTTAGCAATTATCCTATAAAACATGATTATACCATTTTTAAAAAAAACTTTTTTCCTAACTTCCTATTTTTTTAAAATAATTCTCGGATATATTTTTGAGTACACAATATATTGTATTTCTTAAAATTACTTAATTAATTAAAAAATTGATGGTCAAGTTTTTACAAATTAACATCAATCTAAATTATGATGTTAAAAACAAATAAACTCATTTGTAAAGAAGTTTACATAAATAACGGGAATGAACATAAAAGATATTAAATATGAGTTATAGCTTAATTTAGGAAAGCATTAATTTTTGTAAATTCCAAATAAATAAAAAGTTACATATTTAAAAAAAATTTCTATTTAAAAAATCATCATATTATGAATTATATTAAACTTTAGTTATTCTTATTTTAATCTAATAATGTCAATGAAATTGCACCATGATATATTACATTTACACTTTGAAAGGACCCGACCCGTTTTTTTTTTAAATTAATTAATTAATAGTCACATACCTACTATTAATCTAACGGAACTAACCCAACAATAAACCATCATGCACAGCGGAAACATAATAAACCAGCATCAATTAATCATAATATTAATTAACCAATCATTCAATAACCACAATTTACACCAGCAACCTAGCATGCCTCTAAACCAGGTTACAACAACAATTAACATATTCATAACATAACAACCGAGACCCTAGATCATCCTCCTCTCCTCGCCATGATTGCACAGATCACACTTTACCTGCACCACAAACACAATGAGATGCGTGAGTATTATTACAAATACTCAGTGAAGCGATCCTCCCATCCACTGGGCTATACACACAAGCATATTAAACCAATCTAACATGCATTAGATTAACCAAAACAAACAAACCAGGCATAAAAAGACACGAATCACACGCTGTCCAGAAATTCGGTGTCGAGCGACACCGACCCCACAGAAACCATGAAATCGCCTCTCAACTCTCCAGAGAACGAATCCATCACCTCCAAAGCTCCAGCCATGAGCCCTAACACTCAAACATACAATAACAACAACCAAAACACACAAACATGGCCACACAAAACAAATCCAGCCATCCAAATCAATCAAACACACATAAGAAAGGTTAAACATGCTTAGATCAGCCATAGTCACGCACTCACCTTGAAATGGAATGAAAGAAGGACAAAACAAAGAGGAACAGAAAGAACAAGTGATGCAAGATTGGAATCACTCCAAACTTTAGATCACTTGATGATCAAGAGATTCCAAGCTTAGCTTGCGGAAGGTGGAATTCACAAGCTGGCCAGAAGCACTCTCTCGTGAATCAGTGGGTGGTTCAGGGGATAGTTCAGGTGATTGACTCGCTCAATCGGTGGGATAATCGACTCACTCGATCAATG